AGCTCCAAGCCCAACAGCTGCTAGATGTGAACCCACCTGAAGCCACCAAGTCACTGAAGTGAAGGGGCCCCCAAAGCCACAGGCAAGGGTTGGCCTGATAGGCATCAGCCCCCTGCAGCACTCGTGGCTTTCTTCTCCCTGCTGTCACGCTTGAAAAACATTTGTGGAAAAACACAGCAGGACGAAGGGGGTTTGAGTGGCAAGCAGGAGAAGGAGCTGGGAGAAGAAAACAACTTGGCAGGGAAGGAGGAGCTGAAGGACACAAGTGTTCCCATTTTGGTTCACAACTCCCTAGGGTGCTGCTTGGAGCGTTTATTGACCAACTCGCCTGCCCTCGATGAGCTGGCCTTGCAAACTGTGGCAGGAGGGAGGCTATTCCTGGTCAAGGCATGTACAACAGCAACACTTTCTTAACTCTATAATCAACCGGTGACACACAAAACACACAGTCAAGGACTTTCCTGGAGAGGGCTCTGGCTCTGCAGTTACTGCACCTGCAGCATCACCAGAAAAAGCCATCAGGTGCTCTCATGAAATGCTTCAGTGGTCCCCAAAAAAGAGGAAAAAAAAGAGCTTAAGTGCACCCAAGCAGACACAATCTGCTTAAAAAAATCAAGTTGCACCCTTGACTCCAACAATGCAGCAGACAGAGAGGACTGAGTTGCCTCTCTCAGTATTAGAAGGAAAAGAATCATTGTCATGATAAAAAAAAAAAGAGATGCAGCCAGATCAGGTTCATTAAGGGTGAAAGGCAATGGTTTGTCTCCAGACCCAGCTGTTCTCCCCAGCATTGATACGATCTTCCCAGCACAAGTCTGCGCAGGAACTCGTCATCCCCCTGTTCCTTGCAACACGATAGCACAGCACATCGCCCCCAGCTCCCAAGTTAAACATCTTATTAACTGCAGTGACGTAAAAGAGGAAATCTCCGAGAACTATCACAGAGATGAGAGGGAACACGTTTACCATCAATAGGCAATGACACCGCTGCAGAGAGATCTGCACATAAAGCAGCACCCAGCCCCTCCTTCCCCTCCCTCCTCTAATCACTCCATGTCATGGGAAACTAAACCTGACATCCAAACAGCCCCGATACGAGACACTCGCTGTAAAAATATTTTTAAGATTGAAAAACAACAAAAAAACTTGCCTTCCAGGAAACCATTTGGATACAAACCCTGCGCAGCTGCAGCCACCCTCGGTGTCGTGTTCATCCCTCCTGCTTCGGCTTAGAAAACAGGCAGGGTGGGGAAGGGGAAAGGAAATAAAAAAAATCAGGGAAAAGAAGAAGCGATATTGCAGCTGATGAGCTGCGAGAGGCTGTTGGCAAAGTGGTCCAGCAATCATCTGAAATTCAGACGTCACGTGTGGGTTCTGTCCGCAGCTCCCGCGCAGCCCAGGCTCAGCACTTCGCCCAAGTGCACACGCAGCAATTCCCCGTGCTGAGCTCTCCCGCCCCACTCCCACACGCTTCCCAGCCCGTGCCCCATCCCAACCATACCCAGCAGGTTTAGCACTGCAAGGTGACCCAGCTGCTCTGGCCACAGAGGTGGATTTCTGCCATGCAAGCGCAGGGCATGCTGAAAAGCATCACTAAGCTGCAAAACCACCCTCCCTTACAGCTTCTCCACCTAAATCCCAGCCCTGCAGGCAGTGCTGTCTTCTCCACCAGGATGTGCCAGTGGCCATCACCCCACTACATCATCTGGGGCTGGTGGGGGGTCCCACTGGCCTGGAGGAGTGCCCAGAACATGCTGTACCTGCTGCCGAGGCCAGCCTGTCCCTGGGCAACCCTGGGCATGTCCAAAAGCAGCCCTTGAGCTCCCTGAGCTGCTGTGCTTGCATCAGAGAGCAGTGGGTGAGCCCAGACACCTCTGGGGTGAGGTGGTAGCCAGCTTCTTTCTTTCTTTTTCTTCCCTTTAATTTTCAGCTGGGACATTGCTTTAGAGCCAAGGGATGCTCCAGGCTCCATCCTGCACTGCCCCACAATGCAGCAGCTCCTGGGAACTCACCAGGACCAAGAAATCAACAAAGGTCCCTTTGCAAAAGGTCATGATGTGGCTGCAGAAATTCAGCCCCACAATCCCAACACTAAAAATCTTCAGGACAACTAAAATGAATTTTTTTCTCTGCTTACACCCATTCTTCACACAAATTAGCAAGAGGAATCAGGAGACTGAATGTTCCACACCGCCTCGGCTTCATCGCCCGGCTGGAGATGCATCGCATGGCACTAAAGTCAGGCAGATACAGTGGGACTAAAAAAAGAGCATGGTTGCTTTTTTTTTTTTTCTTTTAAAGCCGGATTGCCTTTCACGGTGACTGTATTTATAGGTAGAGCTGTTGAAATTTTAAGGGCTCCTTGCCACAGGAATCCGGTCATGTCTCGTGTTCGCAAAGTGGCGTAACTTGGCAAAAAATGAACATTTAATAGGTTAAATGCTGTTTAAATGCTGCTTCCCTTCCTTAATTTTGGGTTAAATCAGAAAGGGAAAAGGATGAGATGTAAAATTAGCCATGCACGCTGATGCCATGTGCCACAGTCTGTATTTTCCAGATTAGGAGCGTAACGAACATGGGACTTCACACCCTCCCCTAGACCGGCACTTTCTTTTTCTGTCAATGACCAAAAAAACCCATCTTTCGCGGGTGTTTATTTTTGCTTTCGGTTTGGCTATCCGTGGCACACACAAAGCCTCCTCTGCACTTCATTTTATGGTTGAAAAACCCTGTCAGGGTTCAGCTGCAGAGTGGTAAAACTCGCTCTCCCCATCCAAAGCTGCCCGGGAACGCCACCCGCCAGCACGCCGCAGCACACGATGCCCAGAAACCACGCAGTCTCAGCCTAAAAGTTGGCAGTTTTCTTACACAACAGCATGCTACGCTGCTAAACCCCTTTTTTATTTTAATTTATGCTATAAAAACGTGTTACACCCTGTTCAAAGACGCTACCACCCCACTGAGCACGTCTGGATGCTAAACTTTGATTCCCTATGACAATGTGTGTCTATTTAAGACAAAACCCAAACCATAATTAAAGTTATTGATAGGAGACGATGTTTACTGTTTGCTATTTTAACATCAAGTGCTGTTGGATTTCAAGCCGCTGATTTCCATGGCTTGCAGGGGATGATGAAGCTGGAAACATGCCCTGATGTTGGGGTTTTTGATGTCTCTCTGGGCACTTCTGCTGTCAAATCAAAGAAATTCACTTAACAGGCCAATCCCAATGGATGCTTCTCACCCAGGATCGCCTTGACTGGAAGCTGAGTGATTTTTGAGCCACCAAAGCACACATAAAAATAAAATAGCTGTAACAAAAGCTTTTTGCTTCTGCAAGCAGCCATCTCTCTAAGCAGAGCCAACAGGGCCATGGCTCATGGCACACACCTTTGACACAAGTTAACCAAAGTTAAAGTTTTAATATTCCCAAAAGGAACAGAGTTCAGGTTGGAGCACTTACCAATGACTAAAAGTCGCTTCAGTTGCCCAACTGGGAAATTTGGTGGCATCTGAGACCCCCAGAAAGTGGCTGCATCAGGGACCATGCTGCACCAGCCCCTGCCAGCTGGGCAGCTAACTTTGAAGCCAAGTGACAACACACTGTTAAGTCCCTGGATGTACCTAAATATTGGCACAGAACATTATTGAGCCCTCAAGGCCCTCAGCTTTAAATCCACTTGCAGCATTTTTAATGTAAGCTATTAACAATAATATGATTAAAAAAATCAGTGATCCTTGTAACAGTGGAATTTAAATCCAGCTCACAAACTAGTAAGGAGATTCACGATATTTCATATACAAAAAGTCACTAGCTCCATTTATCCACTTTTTTTTCCACTGCTGCCAATAAATACATGATTTCATTAAGGCTCAGTTTTCTTGCTGATCCTCCTTTGGCCAGAAGGATGCACATAAACCCAACCCAACAGCTCCAGACACTCGGTTGCCCTGCCTACATTTCAGTTCCTTTGAGCACAAAGATGAAGCTGTAACCAAATGAACTGGAGAAATTGGCAGCAGCGCAAACTTGACAGATTCCAGCTAATTGCTTGGATTAGTAATTCCAGTGGCACGCAAAAATCCACTTTACCTACGGCAGAGAGAGGCATGGCATGGGCTATCCTCCTGCTGCGTGACCTGCCTGCCCAGGGAATGGGAACTACTGGCATTCCCAAGCCCCCACGCCACAGCAAGGCCAGGAATGGCTTGGTAGCCTAAGGAGACATGCTCAAATACGGAATCACTGAATCATCCAGGTTGGAAAAGACCTCCGAGATCACCAAGTGCAACCATCAATGCACCACCACCACCCCGTCACCAAGTGCCACAGCCACACGTTTTCTGAACACCTCCGGCGATGCTGATTCCACTTTCCGGGGCAGCCTGCTCCAAACGCGACCCAGGAGAGGCCACCCGTGCCGCGGCTACCGATGCAGGGCAGCCCCGTTCTTCTGACGGAGAGGGAAACATCCCCAGGGATGGCGAGGCCGGACAGCCTGGAGGAGCACGGCGCTTCCCCGCTCGGGCCCCTTGTGACACCGATCGCTGCGTCCGGCCCCGGCCGGGGGTGGAGAGGCCCTGGCGGTGCCCACGCCGCATCCCACCCACGGAGCGCGGCGGGACGGGCTCGGCCGGGATGCTCCGTGCCCGCACATGGGGCGGGGGACTGCGGCACCGCGCGTGGGAGGAAGCAGCGTGCGTGACCCCGGCACCGCGGCTGCAGCTCCCCTCCCTCGATTCTGGGTTCGGTCTGACGGGGCCGTAGCCTCGCTGGGGGCCGGGGGGGCACGCACGCTGCTGCCCCCCCCACCACAGCCGCAGCACGGCTGCAGCGGAGCCATCACCCCGCTCTCCGGGGGTTCATCGCGCGGCGCGGCGGCCCCGCGGCCGGCGGCGCACGGACCCCTCCCGCCCGCATTGTTGAGCGGGCGGACTCCACGTGCGGCCACCGCCGCCGCTTCCCCTCGCCCGCCCGGCTCCCGCGCCCGCGCACTGACCTGCCCGCCGGCTCCGCTCGGCTCCTCTGGGCTGCGCTCGCCCCGCGCCCGGCTCCGCTCGCCGCCCGGCCGGCCCCGCTCGCCGCCCTGAA